TTGCCACAGGTTGCTGCGTAGTTTTCTGTATGTTTCTACACAATACCATGTATTTGATACTCCTGGTTTGGAATACAGGAGAGGTATACAACAAATTTAGACTCAGCTAACAAAAACCTAGAGAGAAATGAATCATTACTTAAACATATAATTTACAAAATGTTGGTATTTCACCTACTCCAAATGCAGTCTTTGTGTTTTGTCATTTTGGAGAACAAGTCTAAGATAAAATGAGCTTTACTTCATTTACTGCTAGTAAGGCTTTTTTTCTTTCTAAGATTCTTGGAGAAATAGGAAAAGATTGTTAACATGACCGAGTCAAAATTCATTTTTAGATACATATGAACTTTAGTAGAGAGAAGTTATCATATTCTATTCTCTCATCAGGAGGTTTCCTCATTAGTCGTATCAAAGAGTTTATGAAAGGGAAGATCTCTTCTGACCGCTTTCTACATCATTTTTAACCTAGATTTATAAACCTCAATAGACAAAATTAAGCTTGCATGCTCATCCCTCTGTTTATTTTCTATCTGTACTAGTGCCTTTTTAAACCATTAAACATTTATAATGAAAATTAACAAAGAGACAGGGTTCACAAAGTTATTCAGCTCCTTCAGATTTCATAAAAGCAGAAGCTGGAGCAGAGGGGAATTATTAGTGCCTGCACTGGGAATGAAGATGGCCCTTTATTAGACATCAGATAGTCCAGATGGGTGTAAAATCTCACCTTTACAAGCTCAGCTGCTCCTTGCAGACTCCTGACCAATGTCAGGAAGGATGGGCGTTGTTACAGTTCAGTTAACATTCCAGGAGGGGAACAAATCTCTGTCTGTAGCTGAGTGTACTGGTGTACCTGCAGAGCCTGCTGGGCCTTCGCCCTGAGCTGAACAGGAGCCCCCATAGGGTTGCCTTGGACTTTTCCTGAGAGACTCCCACTGAGAAGGGATGTCAAACATGACTCAGAGGCTTTTGTCTACTGAGGAATTTGGGTAAATGAAAGTATCCAAAAGCAGCCTCAAAGTACTTCTGAGACCGCGTCTTTACACTTTACCATGTTTGGCTACTTACTGCCTTCCTCCTTTTCACATGAAGACTTCCATGTGTATTCATGATACAGGGCCACCACAGGAATAAGCACTTGGTCTCTACTCATCCTATCTTATGCTTCCCAAATCCCTCTTCCTAACAAGTTAAAGTGTCTTACAACAGTCTCAGAACAGCCAAACTGGAAGTGTCTGTTTTTCTGAGGATGGAAAATAAGTGTCTGTGAGTCTAGATTTACGTGAAATTGCCTGGATTGCTAAAATGTATCTGCAGGGTAACTGGTCTTTCTAAATGTGGAAACAATGATCATTGGGTTATTTTCTCACTAACTATCTGTATGGATGGAGTACTTGATTGTAAGGTACAGTACAAATAAATACACCTCATCAGGTTTTCTGGAATAATGGTATCATTAGAAAATTGAGTTGATTGCTTCAGCTCATATGTTATTGACCAACACTCTTCCTACTGAAATAAATACAACTTGATAAAAGTTGCTATCAATCTGTGCCTAGAAAAGACAAATGAATAGTCAGCAGGGAGAGCAAATTGCAAGCACATTTAAGTAATAAGACACAGCAGGACTTGCTATTGTTAGGGTAGACACCCTGAAGTGCCTTAATGTGATTATAATGTGACTTCCTAGAAAAAAAAAAAATATAGATATATAACTATTATAACTATCTTAGATAAAATATTATCAATATTCTACAGGGTAAAATGAAAGCCAAACAAATACATTTTTATTTTTCAACATGTATCTACAGTTTTTAGAGGCATTTTAAAAGACAGTTTTGTCTAAATAAATAAATAAATAAATTGTTCTTGGCAATAATATTCAGTGTGTTACAGGGCTATTGAAAAATATAGCTCTTATCCTTAGATTTAGCACAGACACAGAGATCACCATGACTAAGACATAATTAAAAAAAAAATGTTGTTAAATATATATAGAGAATTATTTTTTTTCCTTGGTTATTTGGGTAACAGAATGAATGTTGCTTTATGATAGCAATCATAACTAGCTGTAGTTTGAAAAGAGATTGAATGTATCATGAAAGATATTTAGAGCTTGTTTCAAGATACAAACAAAACAAAACAAAACAAAAAAACAGGGACAAGCGGCTGGTACAGCAGAAGGTCGTGCTGCCACCCAGGTATCTTTGCAGCAAAACGAACCTGGGCTGCCATTGTCAAGGGAGATGTTCCTTTCTCTCTGTTCTGCACTGGTAAGACACAATTGGAGTGCTGGGTCCCAGTGCTTGAGTCCCCGATATTTGAGAAAAAGGGACATACCGGAGCAAGTTCAGCAACAGGGCACAAAGGTGATTAAAGGATTGGAAGAAGAGACTCAGTGAGTGAATTAGGGTTCTTCAAAGTTCTCCTTGGTAGTGCACAGTGAGTGGACAAGAGGCAACAAGCACAGAGTTCAAGGCCAGGATGGATGGGGCTTTGGGCAACCTGGTCTAGTGGGAGGTGTCCCTGCTCGTGGCAGGGGGATTGGACCTGGGTGATCTTTGAGGTCTCTTCCAACAAAACCATTCTATGATTCTGTGAAATACAGGTGTTTCTGTTTAAACACGACAATTTTATTTATTTATTTATTTTATTTATTTATTTATTGTGGTGAAGATGGTCATCAAAATTCCAACCTGCTCTGGCTGCCCCTGTGCAGCAGGGCTTGGACCAGACGGTCTCCAGAGGTACCTCCAACCTCAGCCACATTGTGACTCTGTGATGTGACGAAGCGAGTGAACCCCTGGAGCACCTTGATTTCCAGATGAGTGACTGAAAAAAATGTTCTGTGTGAAGTCTACCTCAGGGCACAGAGTTTCCACTTCTAACCTGCATGTCTAATGGTATTACATGGAGTCTCTGCAACGAAGAAGTTGCATTGTGACTTATTAAGTCTTCTTGATTTTCACTGGTAGTATGTGTAGCTTTGCCTTGTTCTCCCTTCCGGGTTAATTTAGCCTATTAAAGACCTTATATATTTTACAAGACTTCTCTACTGGTGCATCTCTGTTATTGAACATATCACATATTCTAAAAAGAATAACAGAGCCAAGAATTCAACATCCACAAGCTTTATTCTGGCAATTTTGCTTAAACTTTATATTAAAACCTGTCATGGAAGCTTTAAAAATACATCAGTGAATCATTTTTAGGTGAATATTTACTTTATGTGTTTACATATTTAAACATCTTTTCATTAAAGAAATCCAAAATGACTAAACTTGCTGGATCATTTTTTATTAATAAATTTTTAAAGCCTACACTCCATGAAATTGCTTGGAGCCTTAACTCCTCCATTACCACCAGCAGGGACTGAGGATTCATTTTCAAAACCTTAGCAGAAAAATTAAATTCACATGTGGTATTTCAGGTATTAATCCACACAAGGATGTTCTTGAAGCTGGCAGACACACAGCAGCAAAATGAAGCTGACATGAGTTTAGAATGACCAATGATTTAAAATTTGGAGAAAATAATAAGACAACTTATTTGCAGAGACCGCCTATGCTCCTGTTTAGATTTTTCACAGTGAGTTACTTATCAACTTAATAGAAATGCTGACACACACAGCCTTAACTCCTGCTTCACCCAGTCACTGCTCTAATCTAATTGATTTGTGGTTGTTTCCTTGGATGAAGATATGAAGTGGATGTGCTTTCCAAAATAGCTGCAGTTCTTCTGCAGGACAAAGAGACTGTCCCAGAGGTACCTGTGATTACATGACTAAAACAGATTTTTATGATTTTTTTCTGTGCCTGTTAAATGACAGTGCATCATATTTTACACCAGCTGAACTGCAGCTTTATGAATAATGACAGCATTTTCAGCTGATAGTACCCTTCCCTGACCTCTGTGGCCAAGAAGCTATTCCTGCATTCACTCACTATTTTTTTTTTTTTTTTTTAATACTGAAGCAGCAACAATTTCTATGAAGTATGTCAGATAATTATATTGTCTTGTGTTTAATAATTATTTAAATTAGCATATAACATATGGAGTACTCATACCGCACTAAATAAATAAAGAAATAGCAACAGCTATGAATTTTCTTCCTTTTCATCCAGCTTCGTTATGCTGAGAAAAACAATCCATTATTGTCTCCATTGCAGGGAGAAAGGAAACAAAAACAAAAGAGTAAACTTAATAATGAATAACTTTACTAAAAGATGCATGTTTATGTCATGGCTAAGATTTGCTCATCAGTTGAAATACAGTTTTGGTCCTGGTTTGCTATTCGTTCTTCTGCTGAAGCAGTATTTCACCAATACCATTTAGGGTGTGGGGAAGCAGCCTCACTTTGTCCTGGGGCAGAAGAGAGGCAGCATGGCATCTGCCTGCTGTTCCAGAGAGATTTCAGCTGTAGCATGTGTCCCTGCAGAACAATTTTAGTGGGAATTGTTAAAACACAGACTTTTGAGATGTATCTTTTCATTAGAAGCTCTTGCAGATTTGCTAACCTGGGCTGTATTAACTGGGAATGTGACTGAGCAGCTGTCCCTGTGCTGATGCACCACTGATCCTACACAAACATTTAAAATGTTCTCTTCCCAGCAAGGGCAGGTAGGGGAACCTGCAGCAAACATACAGCCTCTGCTTGTGGCAGAGGCTGGCACCCATAAGGGGCTGATGTTAATGCTGTCTCCTGAGCAAAGGCTTAGTAGGATACGTAATGTCAAGGTCTGAAAAACTTGCAGAACAGCATGGATAGATTTGGCAACTGCTCTGTAAAAAGGTGGCCATGACAGTAAAGGTCATGTCATGAATGCAGTTTCATATTGGGGACTTACTATCTAGGTAGTAATGTCCTCCTTACTCATTTGGTTCATTCTGTCATTTTGGTTTTCCTGAATCAAATGTGTGGTTGGATATTTTCTAGTCAGTGTTACTTTCTACAGAAAAAAAAAAAAAAAAAAAAAAAAAAAGATATTCTACAGTCAGTGTTACTTGCTGTAGCAAACATTTATGAAAGTCTGAAACTTGATACACAAATATTTGAACATTTTCCTACATCCGTATGGTGAATCACATATATAAATATATTCTGCAGTCTTAGCAAGTAAGAATCCATTTCAGTAAATCTCCGTTTTAGAAAAACTCAGTCATTCTCTAATCAACTTTCTCTTTTAGTTTCCATCCATATGAACATTACAAAATTCAGTAAATAAAGAGTTCAGGACTATATCTAGAAAAATAGTTTCCAAAATCATTTTGAAACATTTCTAATCAAAACCAAGTGAGAATCATAATCAATTTGTCTTATGGAAATTTTCATTAAACTAATTTTTATTTGTAAAATACATTCTTGTTTGCTTCCCTTTTGAAAATGTTTGAAATGAGATGCTTAAGGGCAATCAATAATTTAAGCCACAAAAATGGTTCCACTCATCACTTTGCAAGGAATAAGGTTATTATTAATATTTTTTTTTCTCAAGTGAAAGTTGTTAAAAGTGATAGGCCCGTACTGAATTCAGCCAAGAGATGTTTCTGTTTGACGGTATCTGTACTGTCACAGGAAAGGAATCACATTTCAAATGTTTAGGGATCAAAGGGAGTGAATGCAGTCATGTACGCTCTATATTGGATTGTTATGGCTTATTTTATTTATGTAAATAGTGGTAAAGGAATCAAATCACTGACATTGAAATACCTTATTCAAAAGGCTATCTTGTGGAAATAACATCAGATTATAGGGATGGCAAAGGATAAAACTCTATACCTGCTAGTGTAGTGCTTAGTAGCAGTGAAGGAAGGAAACAAGTAATAATCTAGGCTGAAAAGAAATGCTACAAAGATAGAAGTCATCAGTCTGAAGAAATGCACCTCTCAATTATAATGATCAAGTATGATTTGCTCTGGGAGAGTACAGAGGTATAATATGATCCCCTTGTCAAAATAATCATTGTCTACTGTGGCCATTGCTCTTTCACAGTTCTTTAATGACAACGTGAAGAGATCCAGCCTCTAATTTAGACCTGTAGTACTTGTAGAAATGACAGCAAAAGACAGTAGATCTGATTAAAGAGATTGGCAGCTGAAGCCCAAGGATACTTTAAGTATTAGTCTACTTCAACTTACCAGTAACAAGATGCTCAATGGTGCCATCTCCTTTTGCAACCAGCATGTAATTTCTGTTATGTGCTTCCAGCAGTTTCACAGCAAAGCAGATGGAGTTATCATAAGCAGGTTAAAAAATACAGTGTTCAGGATTGTCTTATTTAATGCTAAATTCAAACCTGTGCAAGAGAAGATGTTTTCTCCATACCCTTGGCAGCAATTTATTCTCAGAAGTCAGTTTTTGGGTCTCTGGGAACACTGGGAACTGCAGGTAACCTGCGAGCAGATGATCTCCCTGCTGAGTGATGGGACAGACAATGCCAGCGAAGCCCCAATCTCGGGGTCATCTCAGCATTCAGGTTTAATTTTCTTTTGATTGTCTGTTTGCTGTAGCATGGTTCAACAGTATGGATATGCACCCCTAAGTATAGCAACCATCAGTGCTGTCTTCTCTACAGAGATAAAAGTAATTAATTCCAGTCTAATTGTGCTGTTATAACATGGCAATAGTACAATTTGGGTTTGCATTGATGTCAGATTTATTTTTTCACCAAATAGCTACCTCTTTCCTAGGTGTAGTCAATATTTTCACTTAGCCCATGGCTTCCCAGGTGCCTTCTTTAATATCCTCTGCTTTTTGGGTTAGGGTCTGGAAGATTTTTGGTGATGGCTAATTCATTACTTATCAGATAACTTCATTACTGTATCAGATAACTGTGTATGGACTGACAGTCTTTAAAAGAACATGTGGGAGTGGGTAAGCAGGTCTCAGCTTGGTGCCCCAGCTGTACCACAAACAGATTTCCAACAGCTTGCTCTTTTCATCTCTAAATCACAAATTATCCATTAGCATCTGTGGGGTCCTTTTGCCAGTTAAAGGTCTCCAGATTCCGTGTTTTTGCCAGTGAATGTGTTCCAGGACTGGATGTCCTCAGAGGGTTTGTTTTTCATCAAGGTAAACTTTCTGACAATTTGGGTCTTGACCAGATGAGACAGGATATCTATTTTCCTATTCATTGGTTTTGGCCTGTGATATAATGAATAGCTGGCGGGGACAGGGCAAACAACTTCATCTGTGATAGGATTCCTCTACTTCTTTTTCCCATCTACAGGAAGAGCATCAAAAAAATGTCCTGAAATGTGTGTAGGATGGAGCTGGGGCAGTATTTCAGCATTAGAACTGTCAGTGCCACCTGGGCATTGTAGACACTGTGCAGCAGCACCAGGTAGGAGGTAGCAAGACACCGTCAAACAGATTTGGCTCCGATTCTGACCCCTCTTGATAGTGCTGTAATCTGCTGAGGAGTTTTCCTCTGGAACCTAAGCACCAATTTGTTTTAAAATCTATCACTGTCACCAAGAAATTGCAAAGCGGCAGCAGCCCCATTACTGCCTGACCCCGTCGTATTTTGTTCCTGCTGCTGGTGGAGGCAGATGGCCGACCCACAAAACTCTTGGCAGCTGGCAAACAACAGCTTCATGTTCACAAATGCTTTCTTAAAATCCCTATAATATTTTCTAGCCTTTATGTTTAGTTTTATAAAATGACTTAGCATACTTATGGAGAATGAACAGGCAGTGGATTGGGCCGTCATTGGCCTTCACACTAGAAAAAAACTGTAGTAAGTTCTCAAACCTGTCCTCTACCTGACAAAAGACAGAAGAAATAGAACAACAGGTTCTTCAGATTTCTCAGAATAATTTTCAGATATTTCAGGTAAGGAACTGTATCCTTGGATACATATGCACTGCTTTTAACTCTTAAAGAATCTTTCACTTCCAAATACCGAAGCACTACACCTTCCGAGGGATGACAGACATTATTTTGAGTGCCATTTGCACTGTGTTGCTTCATTTACATTGGTATCCAAACATCTCCACAGGCTTCAGGTCTGTTTGAAGGCTCGCTATGAATGGAAAGGCAGGCATACCCATGGGTGCTTCCAGGTGCCTTCAGGAACTGAGAACCAAGGACAGGTCTGTAGAAATCCCACAGAAAAAAAATGTTGGTTTTGAGGTTTACTTGTCATAATCAAAACCAAGTACAGTAATTGTTTTCATCAATAATAAATCCTTTCTCTCTAGAGATTTCCAGACTAGTTTTTGCAGACTCAAATGTTTGATAGTTCAAATAATCTTTTGATAAACAGGGAGGCGGTTTCCAGAAGAGATGATGGTCAGGCTGGCTCTGCTCTACTGAAGTCAATGAGAGCATCCACTACTGACTTTCAAGACATTCCTGCCAGGCCAAACACATGCTTTTAAAACCTCTTTCTCACTTTTCAGTTCCCTGTCAGCATCCTAGCTGCCTATTTCACGTTCCTGACATTTACTAATATCTCAATAAAAGTAGCCTCAAAAAATAATTGAAATTGTATTTGGGAGCTTTACATACAAATAAAAGGCAACTAATATTTATTACTATATAGTGAAGTATGTGCATTTCAATGGCTTGAGAACCAGCTGAAGATCTCTGATTTGTTATAGGGCTTGCTTACGAGAAAATCTAATTTTATTTCAGCTTTATCAATTACCTAATCCCCTTCACATTCAAAACAGTAATTTAACTGAAATGTTCTAGATTAACTTCATAAAAAGCTTCTGAATAAGTGCATCTTTCCTGCACTTGAAGTATTTTTATTGCCCACTGTAATGCAGCTTCAAGTATTTAACCACTTCAGGAGTAACTTTTGACAGTCAGCCACACCGGTACATTTATTAACATTAATATTTCAATAAAACTGGATACACTAATATCGCCCTTATTGAGAACAATATGGCCAAGAATAATAACATCTTTATTCCTTGCGTGTGGCTTGGGAGTGTATATATAACACTGCTTTCTTCTCTGATCTTTTTTGAAAGCCAAGCTTGCAAAATCAAATTTTTTCATAACATGGTAAAAAATATTATAACATTAATCTCACTGAAAATAATTCAATAGGAGCAATTGATTATTTCTGCTGGTATTATACCTTGCAATACCAATCTGTGGTTCAGTAGAGAGTTATATTTTTGGAGAGTAACACAGCAGACATCCACCTCATTCCAGCTATAGGTATTTACCTGTATCACAAACCTGGTGAAGAAAAAAAAATAAATAAATTAAAAAAATGATGGCTTTTTTTAGATTTCAAAGCAATAACTGCAAAATGAATTTCACAGCCTAAAATATTCTTCCTTTATGTCAATGCTATGGATATTTTATCCTAAAATAAAGGAGATCTATATAAAACTGCAGAATGACAATCATATTCAAAAACTTTGTACATGCCTATCCATCCATCCGTCCATCATCCATTAACTCATTTTCTTCTCTACTGTACATCTGTTATAACTGGCTGAAAGATATAAAACTCCCAGCCACTGCCAAGTATTTCAGGAAGGGTGGTCAGCACATCTGAAATACATTTACCATCTGGTAAATTGGTAAATGACTTTTTTCATGTTAAAAGTATAACAGAGGAAGTAATCCAGAATAATTCTATTCAATGCTTGAAATTAAGAAAAAGCTATGAAAATTATTTTTTGCCACAGGCATTGAAATATAAGCATCAACTTGGGAACAAAGCACTAGTGTGAACCTTTTTATGGGGCATTTTATAGTTTACACTGAGGGCTGATCCTGATAAGCACGGCTTTGGTGATTCATGTATACCTGCAAGGTGTAAAACAGTGAGCACAGAAAAATGATAATGAGAGCAAATGTTGTTTTATGGTCGATCTCCTGCCAGATGCCCAAGGCTGGTATTAGAAGTGAAATGTAGCACTAGAGTTGTCTTCGAGCTCCCAGACACATCACCTACTCTTTGTTCCTCCCCAAATCTGTTGTTACTCTGCCCACCACTGCATAACCACAAAAAGAAAAAAAAAAAATCCAATGTCTTGCAATGACATTCTCACTTGTTTTAAGCAAGGAAATTTCTTGTGTCTGGTGGCCTCCAGTGCCCCACCTTCAGCACCCAGAGCCTGAGAGCTGGTCTGTCTGGGAAACTGGTTCAGCTCCTTGTACTCAGTGTCCCTTCATGACCTTCTGCATTTGTGCACCTAGCTACATAACACATAAAGGAGCCCAAGTCTTTCTCATCCTTATAATGCATGTACTGCATTTCTCATTTTGAAAGATTTTCCCTTAAATCCAGGGTTTACAGGATTTTGTAAATTAGCAGGAGCACATACCCTTTTGGTATGTTTTTCTGAAACTGAATTTTTAAATAATCTTTTTTCATATGTCAAAAAGATTCCAGAAAAGCCTAACTTAATGCAAAAGATTTCTAATTAATGTGCAGTGGGTTAACTTAAAGTAATTCCAGGTCTAATAGTGCCTATGAGCACTATTGAGGCATTATGGTGGGTTATTTTTTGTCTTTTTTTTTGTTGCTGCTGTTTTCAGGAGAAAATTGAAATAATAACTTCCCTATAAAACCTTCGTATCTACAACTTCCCACCTCATTTGGTTAAAACCCAGTAGTTTTATGACCTGTCTGCATCTCTCCTGAAGTGGGACTAGTAAAAGGAAGTGATACAACTTGCCCACTGTTTCAGCATTAAAAACTATTATCTTTGCTACTACCATCTACAGTCAGCACCCGCTTTTAAGAGACACAAGAGCATATTAATCAAGAGCAAACACGAATCTCTTCTGCCTAAGGGTTCTGTGTAAAAGGGTAAATAATCAAAAGGAATGCTACAGCTGATTTATATTTCTTTATGATGATCAAAGACAAATGGACTCCGATTCAGCAAGGAATATAAATGCTGTTTGAAAACTTACTTTTTTTTCTGCTGAAGATAAAATTGAAAAGCCTTCTCCACTGAGCTATATCTAGTTTAAAATCCATTAGCTAATACTGCATGCCCTAAGGTTAAAAAAGGAGTAAAACTCCAATGGTGAACAAGACATTTCAGATAGGTTTTTACACATCTCCCAAGTTTTATGCATCCTTCTCATTCCCTAGCTGGAGATAAATAGATTTGGAGATATCTGACTTGTTTAAATAGTTCCTGGTGTTGCAAAGTACCTCATACATAATCAGCTAATGAAGTACATTTCTCTTAAAAATTTAGCAACTCTCCCTCCTCCCCAAATAACTAAATAAATAAAATGGCCCACTTCCTGGAATTACTTTGGTTCCTTTTGGGTGGTAGGGAAAAGGCAGGAGCCCAGTGCCCTCAGAGGGGTCTGAGCTGAGCCCCCAGTGCAGTGGGACCAGTGGGCAGGGCGAGCAGGTTGGCCTCAGGCACCGTGCTGCGGCACACACGGGCTGCTCACTGCGGCAGGCGTTTGGCCCAGACACCAGAAAGCAAACCATCAGCCAGGAGAGCTGCAGAAAAGCCAAAATCTCTTTTTTAGAACTCAGTGATTTTTATGGTTTTTAGATTTTGGGGGTGGGAAAAGGATGCTACTAACACTGATGGTTAGAGGAAAATAAAACTGGTGGAATGGAAAGGTACATACTCCTCCAGTGCTGGATGTTAAATAGTTTTAAAACTTTTATTACCAGCAAAGCAAAGCCAAAATATTCCACAAAAACTTCTGCAAAGCATCTATTTCAAGAAGTAAAACAGTATGCCAAAGCTTGCTGTCACTATTTTACATTAGTAGGCCATGTACTGTTAAATTTATTTCTGCTTCTTGTATTTTCTGCTCTGTTTAACCTCAAGCATCCAGAACCCAAAATTTTGTAACTTTTTTTCCTAAGATCTCAAACTCCTCTCTTCCTTGCAAGTGCTACATCCTGCAGTACCCTGCAGCATCTTTCAGGGCGATGTTCTGCTCTAAAATCTTTTCCCTGATTTTGAATAACATTATTTTAAATAATGCAAAACCATTTGAAGCTGGATAAAAATCATTGGAAGAATTTATTAGATTTTAGGCCCTTTAGTGAAGGGATTGCTCTTCTCTGATTTTGTATTGCCCCTAATAAAAGGAGAATTTTGACATTAAAATAAATAAATAAATAAACAAGGACTGAGTTAAAGTTAACCAGTCTAGCTGAAATGTGATTTAAATCATGGCGGTACTCAGCTAAAGAATGGAAGACAATTCTGGGTGGAGTTTTTTTGTTTGTTTGTTGTTTGTTGTTTGTTTGTCAGTTTTGTAAGTAATAGTCATACATTCTTTTGGGAGAATGGAAAACTAGTATAATTCCAGAAAACGAGCATAATCTTTCCTTGATTTCCAGGTGGACACAGACAGAAAAGTTACTAAAAATGCATGGATGTTCACATAAAGTCAGTGGAAAGCAACATACTTATGATGGTGATCGAGAAAAATAAAGCTGTATATCCTGTGTAAATAAATACATACATAAATAAATAAAAATACAGAATGGGAGACATGATGAGCCATGAAGCTGGGGAGTCATTTGCAAAGAAAGCTGAATTAGTTATCTGGTGACCAAAATCCCACTATGTTCACTGGTCAAGGAATCATTTTGAAAAAGGTCAAGACACCTTCAAAAATAGGGCTTCATATTCTAAGACATTTTTTCGAGTCATAAAGCATTCCTGGCCATAAAGCTCTGTTGCCTATCCATCCTTTCTGAAGATGGTGTCATTTTCCGGAGGTACAGTGTTGCCCTAATTCTGCTCCCATTAAAATCAACAGCTGATTGATTTGGAATGTGAGGAGACCAATGTAAATACTGGATGCTCCAGAAAAATCTCATTCGTAATGTGTATAGGAGTTTTCAAGAAGATATCAGTGGATCAGAGACTTTGCTATAAAACGTGAAAGCAAACCGTTACTCAAGTGAAAGTTATGTGCACAAATGTATTCCATGTTTAAAATTCCTGCATGCCCAGGAAAGTATGGAAGCTGTCTGGGTTGGAATACCACAGTTTTCAGCTCTAGTGCTCAGCTGCCAATTTAACTGTGCATATTTAATCAAGTGCACAATTGTTTAAAGTGCTTCATTTAAATTCTTCAATTAATTAAAAAAATCATAAAAAACTCTTGTAGAATTATTCTGCCTTTGCCAAGAATAATTAAAACAATTTAGCAGAAAGAACCTACTAATTTTCCATACTCAGCATTCTTAATTCACCATTAAGCTGTATATTCCTATATGAAGCCAACTACTTGATTTTATTTTTCAATGGATGAAATCTAGAACACTTATTCACTGCATCTCTGATCTTTCTTTCTTTTTTTTTTTTTTTTTTTCTCTTGCTTAATTTTAATGGAATTGCATTTCTTTGCATCTTCAGTAGAACCCTGACAAATTAAAGACCTCATTTTGCTCAATAAGTATTTTTTAACAGATCGGTTTCTCCTTTGGATGTTAATTAATTCATCTTTTCTCTTTCATTTTTGCTTCTCCATGAACAATGAAAATGGGACTAGTGCTGGATATGGAAAAGTATATTAATCAATGTTTAAGGCAAAACCTTAGCAGATACAAATATACAGCAGGTATTTCAAATTGCTGCCTCACTTAAAAAAAAAAAAAAAAAAAGTGAGATGTAACCTAATTTTCAGTGAGAACTCTGAAATGCAGATCCATATCATTCTGGGATAGACTAAGGGGCAAGGATATGTGTTTTCTCTGGTGTTCTGGTAATCCCTTCAAGGAGCAATACCTGCAGAAATTATGACCAATACACAAGGGGAGAGCACCTTTCCCGTAGAGAGGAGCAATTTCACCTTGCTTTCAGTCTGTGCCTTCTCAAGTGATTCCTGATGTGTTTGCAACTATATCTTTAAATAATACATGAACTTCCTGAAATCAATGTGAAGATGCCTATTGATTGCAAGGGTCTTATGTCTAATCTGCATCCTACTTTCTTTCAAATTAATTTCCAAAACTGTCTTCATTGACAAGAATTCTGTAACTAATACATGAAATCAAATATTGTAAAACAATAAGCATTTCAAACACATTGTAAAAGCACATAGGACCTTTTAAGTGTAAAAAATAAATCTTGTTGCTTATAGACAACTATTTATTGGATGCCTGGGATTTTATCTTCTTTACATTTCCGACGTATTATATTTATTTTAAGTCCTACATCTTAGCCTTAGCAGATGTTATCAGTCCAATCTTTCAGTGATTTACAAACAGTGCCATGGGGTCA